TCTCTCTCTCTCTCTCTCTCTCTCTCTCTTCTTCCCTCCTCCCCCTCTCTCTTCCTCCTGCCCTCCCCCTCTCTCTATCTTTCTCTCTCTCTGCCTTATTCCCTCTCTTTTTCCCTCCCTCTCTTCTATTCTCCCTCCCTCCCTCCCTCTCTTCCTGTCTTTCACTCTGTGTGTGCATGTCTGCTTGTACTGCTGGTTCTGATTTCAGGTGCAGCTGTAAAGATGTGTATTGACATAAGTTCAGGTGCGATTGCCAGGCTACTTTGAAGGTACCTAATGAAAGGAGGTTGGCAGTTTTGGAGTAAGCTGGCAACTGTGGTCTTGGGCTAGTAAGACAAGGTGAAACAGGCTACCTGCCCAGTGGAGGTAGCTGTGAACTGGAAGCTTCCCAGCATCATCCTCAGCAGTGACAGGAACTCTTTGTCCTCATAATCAAAGCGGTCCCCGAAAACAATGGAGCTAATGACATTGCAAACTGTTCTGCTCAGGTAGAATGTAGGGTCAATAAAAGCACCTGTAGAAAAGGAGGAGGATGGAGAGCAAGACGTTGGAGCTTGAAAAAGGCTTCCTCGGTGGATAGCATCAGATATTTTGTATCAGAGAATTCAAAATGAGCACTCGCTGCAGCATGGAGTCCTCCAACTCCACCAAAGCCCAGACACCAGGTCCCACAGCAGGATCAGGGCTTTCTTCCCTAGCCTAGTTCCCATTCTGGATGTTGGTACTGTTTTATCTAGGGTATCTTCCCCTTGGTTGGTCCTGAGAACTTGCAGAGCTTTGCTTACCGTTTGTCTTCCGGAATGCCTCCAGGAGAAAGCCCGCCTCCTCTTGGATGCGCTCCTCTATGCCACGCTTGCCCACACCGAAGTCCCTCAGCGTGGCAATGGAGAAGCGCCTCAGCTGCTTGGCACGCTCCCCGTTGCTGAAGACTACACCTAGGAAGGAGAGTAATGGGCAGAGAGAGGTCAGCGAAGAGGGATGTGGCTGACTACTGACCATCCTTGGGCTGTTCCCCAAGAGCGAGTTAGAGGACAGAAGAAAGAAGGAGACAGGAGGACAGATGCCAGAGGCACAGAGACACAGGGACACGGCACAGGCGAGAGAAGGGAGACTAGGGAGATCTAGGGGAGGATACAGTTGTGAAAGAGTTATAATTGAGCTAGGGAAGAGAAGGACAAAGAAAGTCTGGGAAGAAATGATATTTCTGCCATGATATTGAGCTTGGCAACAGATTTCTGTGATGCCCTGACAGTGGAGGAAGAAATCAGAAGAAAGAAAGAGAGACAGCATCCCAGGCAATCACAGAAACTATGAATAATGGGATAGAGAGGGGGACATCTCCAGAGCGTGTTAGAGGCATAGAATCCAGATAGAAAATTCCAAGATATAAGTCAAGGCGTGGCTGGTGTGTGTGGTAAGGGAGGGGAGGGGGAGGGAGACAGAGGCAGAGAAAGACAGGAAGATTAGGAAGCAATGGGTCCAATACCCAACACAGCAGGAGGCAGTGATGTGGATGGAAGAGTCAGGGAGAAGGCTGGGGAAACTGATGCCTTCCAATTATTCCCTGCCACATTCCCCTGCATATTGTCCCCCTTACCATAGCCTTTGAAGAGCCAGTCAAAGGTGGCCTGCTCGCCACGCCCACTGAATTCCTCAGCTTGATCCAGCAGAGCCTCCTTGACTGCTTCTTGTCCACATAGTACCACAATTCGGCGAGGCCCCAGGTAGATGGTGAACACGGGACCATAGCGTTCGCTGATCTGATGGAGATGGATGAACAAAGTTAGAGGAAAGAGGTCACACCTTGACAACAGGTCTGGGATTCATTTCTCTGGAGTTCTAACAGCTATCAGATGGGTCACCCCAAGATGTGGTCTCACATGCCTGGCTCTTCACAATTCCCCCAGACTAAAATTACACCCTAGGGTCAACACCCTACCACAAAGCCCCTATTAAAACTGGACATCCTCCATGCCCCCATTCTACCCTTCGCCCTGCCCAGTGGCACCTTCATGAGGGAGTTGTACATCTGCTCTGTGTCCAGCTGAAGGTAGTTCCCGATGAAGGGCAGTGGGGTGGGTCCTGGAGGCAGCTTCCCTGAAAATTTCCTCTGCTTCCAGACAGACATGAAGACCAGGACGACGAGGAAGGCCAGCACAGTCACCAGGAGCAGTCCAGAGGACAGCATGGTGGCGATGAGGGTGACAGACAGATGGTGATGGCTGAATTGGTTTGCTCTTATACATCCTGAGGTGGAAGGCGGCCTTTGGCCTTGATTATGCAACTGTTTTATTTCACCTCCAGACTACCACCCCCTATCTTGCAACTAGCTTGAGACACAGCCAACAATCGAAGAGGAGGAGGCCCCATGAGGGAGTGGACTGAATTTGTGACATCTGAGGGCTCTGTGTTACAGAGGAAAGGGACAGTAGACAGAAGACATAACTGAATCCTTCATGACATTTGTATTGGAGACCCTTCTGAGCCCTGGATGTGGGTTCTCCTGGAAAGAGACCAAAATGGTGTGATATTAGGGTCTCATTGGCTTGAAACAGGACAAATGGCTATAAGTTTGGAAGTTCATTTTCTTTCTATTTTGAGACAAATTCTTTCTATGTAGTCCTGATTGGCCTGAAGCTCAATATGTCAATAATAGAAATCTACCTGCCTCTGCCTCCTGAGTGCTGGGATTATAGGCCAGTATCACTACCCCTAACTCCTGAGCCTTTCAATAAAGAGAGTCCTGGATTTACAGTAGGGGAGATTTCAGGACTGTAGGTTTTGGATCTTGAAGCAAGACTGTGGATGAGGAGTACCTGGGAGAAACACATGGAAATTCCAAGAGGATCTTGGAGTAAATATCTGTACCCAGGCAGGGTATACTTTGGTTTTGGCCCTAGACTATATTTGACACTCAGAACCATTAAGGAAGTTCCTATAGTATAGGAATGTAGGATCTAGAAAAGTTGGGGAAGACCAGAGTTCTATTTCAAAGGAACTTTGCACAGTACTAGAGATAATATCTGAGGATCATGATCATCAAAGGGTCTGTCACTGAAGAACAATGATAACAACCACCAATACATTAGAAAAGTTCTAATTTACAAAAGTACCTCCATTCCTTTCCAGATCCTTAGGAAAGGCTACAAGGTTCACTGGCTCATGGCTGTTGTAATTTACAAAAGTTCCCTGTTTTATATATGGATGCACTGAGAATAGGACACAGAGGGTGGCACGGGGGCCACATACATGAAAAGTCTGTAAGCCAAAGCCATCAAAATCTTCCTTAGCCTACATTTTCAGCTTTCTCTTTCTAGACTTCTTTTCCTGGCCAGTGGCAGGAGAACATGGAGCAGGTCAACATTGGGATGTGTGGTAAGCAAACTGATGCCTGCACTGCCTGGGGATGTTAATAACAGGAAGTGAGACTGGGGCCTAGGTAATCATCCATCATGGGAAACAAAAGAGGACCCTGGGATGCTAAAGCTGGCCACAGAAACAGGAATAGTCCACTGTTCTTCCACATTGAAATTTTTTTATAATAATTAAGGTAGTTACCTTTTGATAAACCTATACCCCAGAAAGATTATGTGTATCCCATCTGTGGAATGTTAATAATTATGAAATTGTCACTTCCTCAACCTCACTGAGATTGCCAAGATCACAAAGGATTTGTAATTTGACTTGTTTTTCCCTTCATTGCCTGACCCACCTCATTCTAGGAGTCATTCAGGGACAGGGTGGGTGCTGAGATTGAGATCTGCGGTGGACAAAAGAAAAGACGCCGGCAGTTACTATGTCAGTTTCAAGCAGACCCAGGAGGGAGGGGATGGGGTTGGTATTGAGATTGTCCCCAGAAAGCACTGAGGACAGAGAGAAGTTAGCGCTGAACTTGACACCAAGGGGATTTTAGTAGAATCACCTCTTAGGCTAAGAGGGACCTTGAGAGTGGAGGTAAGCTGTCACTGGAATTACCTGAATTGAAGGCATACGTGTGCCATCATATAGTCTCTGGATTTGGTTCCAGCAGATTCTGACATAAACACCAGGTACTTGCTGAGATTGACCTGAGTTAGATCCTGGAAAGGACCTCTGGTGGACACTGGCAGGCTTTCATGGATGGACCACTCATGGTGGTACCCTAGCTTTAGACAAGAGGAGGTGGGTGAGGCTGGAAATCTATAGCTGGCATGTTGCTCATTTCATTCTAGGCTGTTGGACTCTGAGACAGGTTGGGGAGACATGAAACGCAGAGAAGAAAGCTATTTGTTGAGTTTGGAGGAGAAAGAGGCAGGGAATGGGATTAGCCTAGGCTTGGCAGGTAGCATTATCTCCTTAATCCTTATTACCAGCCGGCACCTGCACCAATTTCAAACCTGGACCTCTCCTTCCCACTGTTTCCACTTGAATAGGAGAAAGGGAATCATTTTGGAGAAGTTGTTTCTTAGTGAAGGTGGTACCAGCAAGGAGCCCAAGTGTTCAGGCAGGCTCCCATGATCTGTACAGGGGATAGGGTGGGAGGGCCAGAATGGGAACTGAGGTTGAAAGCTCAAGAGAGATCAAGTGTATTTGCTCTTAATGATTTTTGTGGGACCATGAATGTTAGAGCAGAAACTGAAGTCAGGTGAGAGAGACACGGGCACACGAACAAGGGGTGGGTGCCTACAATCACCTGGAAGAGAAATGTCTAAGTGGATGTACCACAAGACAGGTAGTAATATATTGAAGAGGTGTAAAAGACCGGCAACTAGAATTAACCAGGCTAACTTTATTATAAAATATTCAGCTTTAATAAGGGTAAGGAAAGGGGGGACTTACAAAGCCAGAGTTCCCACAAAGCACAGGAAATACAAAGAGGGAAAACAAGTGCACATCGATGGTTTTATAGACTATTTGGGGCCCCGGGGGAACACACCCCACAAACAAGGTGATTGGTTGTGATTCCCCATCAATATATGAGTTAATACATAAAAACAACAAATATTAGCTATTTTTCCAAGTGTTATTGCAGCTTATTCATCTATAAAAAAAAGGAGATGGATTGATGTTACTCTAAACCTCCATCTGCCTTTTGTAATCTATGGTTTTCACCGTAGGATAGAGGGTCCAGCAGTTTAAGACCATTGCCAGGTGTTCTTCAGAATTCTCTGCCCCACACCTTCTAGCACTATGAAAGTTAGTCAGCAAGGAGACAATTTCCTGGTCAGTTCAAGATTGATTTCTCTATGTCCTGCAGCCAAAGTTGGTGGTGTCTTCAGCAACAGGGTCCTAACATCTAGTTATGGGGGGAAGCCTGTCTTCTTTTGAGTGCCTCCAGGACCAGCCAGAAGAGAGTATCTGAGAAACCTCCTTCCCCAATACTTATTTACTGAAGTCAATCATTACTACCCTTCTATCTCTGCAGCTGTGGTTAGGAAATTTTTTCTGGAAGACTGGTGCTCTATTGGGCAACTTCTGAGCAAGCATGGATTATTATTATTAGATGTTTAGACTGTTCTGGATGGAGCTGAAGCCTGCACAGGACTTTGCCTTACTGTCTATCTTCCCTCCCTTTACCTTAAACTATCCACTTGTTTTCTTTCTTCTTCCTGCAAGTCACTGTGATCCCTAAGAGTTCTCTGTGTTCATGGATGTCTTCATGTTATTATCATTTTGACAAGTAAGTTACAATAGGTACTTTTTCTTAGCTTAGCTTTGTTTACACATTCTTCCCTATGTATAATTTTGAGTATGTTTGGGGTCTCTGTGGAAAGGCATGTTGCAACATCTGTGTATTAGTTACTATTCTGTTACTATGATAACACACCATGACTAAGACAAAGTACTGGAGTTTATTTGGGCTTACCATTCCAGATGGGTAATAGTTGGTTGTGGTGGAGAGCATGGTAGCTAGTGGCGGGGACTGTGGCAGAAGACTGAGCACTCACCTCTTCAACCCCAAACACAAAGCTAAGAGCAAACTGAAAGTGGTATATGGACTTTTAATTTAAAATCCAGGGTCAAGTGACATACTTCCCCCTGGGAGGCTATACCACCCAAACCTCCTCCAACAGAGCTACCATTGTAGGACAAATCTCATTCAAAGCACTACAATGCCCATGTGGACTGATTAATTTGTATCTGTTGCTTTTATTGGTTAATGAATAAAGAGGCTGCTTTGGCCTGTGATAGGGCAAAATTGAGCTAGGAAGGAAAACTAAATTGAATGCTTGGAGAAAATAGGTGAGTCAGTGAGAAGCCATGTACACACCACAGGAGACAGATACCTCCACCAGAGCCCGCTGAAACTTTGCATGTAGGTTAATGGAGACTGGTTAATTTAGGATATAAGAGCTAGCTAAAAATATTCTTAAGCTACTGGCCAAAAAATATGTTAACATACCAATGGAATGTCCAAAAATCCAGTAATTGTTCAGTCCATGAGGTTGGATGTTTCAGCTGGTCTTCAGAATCTGCAAGAATCATGAAGAAGTAGGCTCTAGTGCCAGTGAAAACAAACAGGCAAAGAGAGCCAGCTACCTTCTTCCATGTCCTTTATATAGGCTGTCTTCAGATTGAAGGTGGGTCTTCCCACATCAAAGATTCAGAAGAGGAAGTGTAAGCAGAGGCTGTTTATTTATTCCTGGCTATTCAGACTCAAAATAATCACACAGAAACCATATTATTGTCAATATTTTTTAGCCAATAGCTTAAGCATAGTTAACACTAGACAAAAATATTCCTAAATACAGGTTCTGGTGATAGGTGTTGTATGTGCCTATCGGCAGATAGGAACTAAGTTTGGCTGCAAAGGCTTTAGGGGGTACACAAATATTACCACACAGTAATTCATTACAAGTAAGATAAAAAATAGCACTGCAAGCACTTTAGAGTCCAAATTCTAGAATTCAAAAGCAAACTATTCCTCAAACATTTTGTGAGACATTACCTTGCCTTTTCATCTATCAGCTTTTTTGTTTTGTTTTTATTGTCTTTTTTTCTATTTTTTTATTGAAAAAAAAAATCTGCCTCCTCTCAGCTTCCCATTTCCCTCCCCCTCCTCCCACCCCTTTCCCCCTCTCCCCACTCCTCTCCACCCCCCTCTCCAGTCCGAAGAGCAGTCAGGGTTCCCTGCCCTATGGAAAGTCGCCTAGCCAGTTTGGATGTTCATCTATCAGCTTTTATAGTCTCAAAATTAGCAGAGTATTTATAGCCTTCTCGAGGGAATCCATGTAGGTGATTCATGAATCACTTGTCAGAGACTTCAATACACTGAGTACATTGCAGTCATTTCTGTCCTTATTGATGCCACTTACTATGACCTTGAAGTTCTCTAGTGCAGGCATTTCACAAAAGTCACTGAAGTCATCTGCTTTGTCTACAAGGGCCTCCTTCACAGCCTCATGTTCACATAAGACAGGCACTGGCCATAGACCAAAGTGTACAGTGAACAGAGAGCCATATTTTTCCTGGAGCTAGGAATGAAGGAAAATACAGAAGGAAGGAGTAAATTGCAAAATGGTGGGACACCCAGTCAAGGAATGTAGAGGGTAGAAATTCTAGGAGGATGAAAACATAGAATAGAGAAAGGTAGAAGGGCTATTGGGGAAAAAAGCATCAAAATGACTCCTTGACTTTGGGAGTGCATGTCCCTAATTTTGTACTGCTTAGCTTTGTTTGTGAAACAGTGGGCTTTGACTTGATGAATTCTGTGATCTACATATTCTCTTTTTGAAATGCCAGGTTTTTAGCATCTTAAAAGTCTAGGACAATTTGAGAACAAAAGTTGCGCTTAAAGAAAGGAGATTCCCAAAATCCTTAGAATGTGATCCAGAGTCCTGAGGAGAGAGGGCTCTGTTCTACTGTGCTCAGAGTCTATTTTTTTTTCCTCTTCATTTTAGGATTCTATAATTTCAGAATCCTAAGTTTCCTAAAGTTTCTTTCTGAGTCTTTGTTTAGGAATCATGAGTTTTTGTGTGTAATCATCTATGCTGTTTGTTGACTTCATTGCTATAAGAAGCAATGAACACACTCACCTTAAGGAAGAATTGAAATAAGGCATCAACACAGACTTGTAATACGTTCCCTCCAAAACAGTACTGGTGTGGTGCCAGGGAATAGCTTCCCTTCATTACTGGTTCTCTTCCAAACAATCAAGATGAGCAGGCAATGCATGTAGAGTACCATAAAGATACTGAAGGCCCACTTAAGTTCCATGGCGCTAAGTCAAAGGGTTATGACCTTGGATCCAGATCCTACCTACATAGCTTCTAGGAGATCAGCTTACACTAAAATCTGAACCCTGTGGAATACAAACTATCCCTGTATTATGCCATCAGTTGTCCGATTGTTTGATAGGTGTACAGTTATGTAATTTTTAATCTCTCATCTGCACTGTAGTGATATTTCATTAGTATTTTAATAAACAAAGCTTGGATAAAGATCAGAGTAAAACAGCCCCACTGGTCAGTCTTTTAGACCAGGCAGTGGTGACATACATGTTTAATCCCAGTAGTTACACTTCTTTGCCATAGAAACCAGGCAGTAGTAATGCATGCCTTTAATCTCAGCCCCAGAGAGATATACAAAATGATAAGAGACAGCTCTCAGACTTAGTCTCATTTCTGAGGATCTCTGGAGGCAGGATCACCATTTCAGACTAAGGCAGACGTAAGAGTCAGTGGTTGACTGTCTTGCTTTTCTGACCTTCAGGTTGTTTTTTTTTTTATCAATAGTTAATAGAGTTATATTGAATTTACCCATAAAACTTTACAAGGGGTTTTCCCCTTTCTTCCCATTTCTAGTTTCCCATCTGTCCCTCAGCTTCATATTCTTTGTAGCATCTGAGAAACAGCCAGTTTATAGGGACTCTGCATAAGGTATAGACCTTCCTAGTCCTTCCTACATTGTTCTGCTGCATGAACTCTCCTTTAGACCTTTGTTTTTATTGACCTTGGAATGCCAATTTCTTGTGCTTTACTTCCACCTGTCCAGAGAAGTTCAGAGGCAAGATGTTTACTTCCTTAGTCCAGCATATCCAAGGACATTATACATGCAACCCCTGAGACTTTCCCACTTATCCCCAAGACTTCTATCCCTCTGAATCACATCTAATGTAAGTAATGAGGATGATTGTATGTGTTTGTGCATGCGTGTGTGTGTATGTGTGTGTGTGTGTGCAAGAGAGACACACACACAGAGAGAGAATGTGGTGTTGTGAGGATATTATAAAAATGGAGGGGAGGGAATGGGGCATGAATTTGATCCAAACACATTATATTCAATCATGAATATTCAATAAAGTACTATAAAACAAGTAAACCAAATTTTATAGGATGTCATACACATTCTTATCTACTGCAGATAAAAACAGTAATGAAAGATTAGATTGCATTGATTTATCCAAAATTAAGATGCAGAGAGACTTAGAACCCAACCCTATGAACAGGATTCACCATTAGAGATGATGCCTTAAGAATCTTAATAAAAAGTTCCCAGTTCTTTTCATGTTAAATATTTGTAAAACTTCTATTCTGGCCCCAAATAAATTTGCAGGCTATTGTTCTTTTTCTGTGTACGTTGATACCACCACACAGATCTGACCCTGTCCTTGGATGTCTGGGTTCTCACATTTGGAAATTGAGTTCCTTTTATTTACCTGCAGATTCCAAGAACAGAGCACGAGTTATGCATGGCACTTACAATTGTAATATTAGCAGCTAAATCAGGATTTAGGGACAGCCTGGGGATATGTGGCAAGAGCTAGACAGGGAAAATGATAAGAATTTAGTTGGCTAAGAAGGTGTCCCATGTCCAGGAGAAATGGTGAGATTTCTAGGAAGACTGAAAGTATCACATTCTTCATGCTAGGCCTCCTCTTCAGATACCTTTCCTTTTATTCTAAAGAAACAAGATAAACAATTAGTTTGCATCCTCTTTCATGGCTCATGTTTCCTATAGCTGCATTCTACCCTTCCTCACCACCTAATGTTACCCTTTCTTCATTTCCTTTCTACATGTTAAACTATACACATGAGTGTACACTTATTTACATATATAAATGCATTCATGATAGAAATAATTTTGGAGATCCCTCAAAAACAAACAAGAAAATAGCAACAACAATTCCCTGCAAACCCAAACTGACACATCAACCAGCTGTTTCTCTCCTGGGCATCCACCCAGTGAATCCCATACCTTACCGTAGAGGTACTTGCTATATTCACTACAGCAAGGAATCAACATAACTGTTCATCAACAGGTGAAAGGATAATGAAAACCTAGTGTGTGTCTAAAATTAAATCTTGTTCAGCTCTAAAAGAAAAGAATATAACCACAAAATCTATAGGGAATTGAAAAGACTTAGAGTATATAATATTAATTGAGGTTATACAAACTCAGAAGGAAAAATAAAACAAACTCTCATTTGTGTCTCCTAGGATGCCTTTCATAAGGCAGAGAACTATCATCTCTGGAGTCTCTCATGACTCTTATTTCCTTTTTGTCTCCCTTTCTCATGACTCTCCCTAACACACATACAAACACATCCACACCACCAGAATGGTATCCGTTATGATATGATTATGATATGATTATGATTGTGTGTAGCATGATTAACAAAAACCCAGAAACAAATATTGGGGTTCAACCTGAAGGTCAGAAAAGCAAAACAGCCAGCCACTGGCTCTTACCTCTACCTCAGTCTGAAATGGTGATCCTGCCTCTAGGAATCCTCGACGTGTTTGAGAGATGTCTCCTCCTATCTTATATTCCTTTCTAGGGCTGGGATTAAAGGCATAGACTACTACCATCCAGTTTCTATGGCAAACTAATGTGACTACTGTGATTAACTGTGTGTGTTACTATTACCTGGTCTGTAAGACTGACCAGTGGGGCTGTTTTACTCTCTGATCTTCAGGCAAGCTTTATTTATTAAAATAAAAATGAAATATTACTACATTTCCCTTTTGTCTAAAATAAAAAAATAGGCTATTGCTAATATAAGAAAAACTATATACAGTAAATACAATAACTTTATACAATATGTACGGGCAATAAACACATCAACAATATCTAGTACACTTCCAATTGACAAATACAGAGAAAATACTCCATATCTATCCTATCAGTATCTATTTTGGTGAATCCAAATCCTGTCCTTAATTTGCTTTTTTGCCATAGCTTGCTTTCTGTGTCAGGTAAACAAGGAAAATTATAACTATAACTATTTAGTCTTCAACTCTCCCTTTGAGACCTAAAAAGGAAATAATATTAACTGAGAAAGAAGGAAGTGCAGGCAAGCGACTTCCAAAAAATGTGAGAAATACCAGAAACATTTGGCTTTCTAGACAGTCACCCAGAGTTCCTCTGCAACATTGGAGCATCTCTCTTCAGCTTACAGGTCTAGCATATCTAACAGACTTTTCTGTGAAACAGGATGTATTGCAGGGCTATCCTCCCTTGTCTTGACAATGTTTGGCAGTTGCTTTTTTTGTGTCCTGCTTGTCCAATTAGGAAAGAATACTGTCAGCAGTCAAGGCAAGGGCATTTTTTTTGCCAGTTGAGTTTCTCCAATGCCCATTACCTTCTCTGAAGTATATTGGTGCTGCCAGAAGCAGACATGTCTTATTGTCATAAAAAGAGCCTATATTATTAAAACATCTTAAATGCCATATTCTGGAGATCTCTGAATTGTTTGAAGATGACCTGTCTATCTAAAATATATCTCTGCTTTACCTTGAAAACATCCATTACATTGTAATATAACTACAAGTTCAACTATAATAGGTGACTAATTACTAACCTGCATTTCCTTGTTATATTAAACAGTTGGTAATGATATCGTTCCAAGACTAGAAATTTGCATTACATTGTTAAATGAGCTGTATAGGTACAATATCGTGAACAAGTTTAGAAACATATGTTTTAACAAAATTAATCTCAAATTTGTATCAATATACAAAATTTGTATACAATATACAAAAGTCTATTCCTATGTAAAACGTTTAAAACTAGTAATTGTTTTTAAAATAAATTTAATAATCTACACTTATGTTTTATCAATTGTGGATGATTGTACCTAGTGATAGTTTTGCTTAGTCTACTCAGTAATACAAGAATGGACCTTGTGCTGGTTAGTCCTATGTCAACTTGACAAACGAACTAGAGATATCTGAAAGTAGGGGACCTTAATTGATAAAAATGCCTCTATAAGGTCTGATTGTAAGGTATTTTCTTAATAAGGGATTGATGGAGAAGTGGGCAACTCATTGTGGGTGGGGCTATTTCTGCACTGGTGATCCTGAGTTCTATAAGAAAGCAGATTTAGCAAGTAATAGAAAACAACCCATAAGAAGAACCCCTTCATGGCCTGTGCATCAGCTCTTGCCTTCAGGTTCCTACCCTGACTTCCCTGGATGATGAACTGTAAAGTGGGAATGCAAGCAAAATAAACTCTTTCCTTTTCACATTGCTTTTGGTCATGATGTTTTGTCACTGAAGTAGAAAGCCTAACTAAAATAGTCTCTGATGACTGTGACTGATAAAAATGATTTCTTTTGTCCTACTGACAAAAGATAGAACACAGAAGCTCTCTGATCCTCTCTTTTCCTATCATTATCTAACACTCTCTCTGTTCACCCCTGTACTGAGAATATCTTAGTCTGTATTCTGCTGTAACGGAATTTTGGTTTTGTGGCTCTGGAAGCACTTATTTTCAAGAACACTGACCTGGCATCTGATGAATGCTTTGCTGCTGTACTTTGATATGATACATGCTTCAGCAACTATACCTCCTAAAACTAGTGGCGAAAGCTAAAAAGGAAACTGAACATTCTTAGCTAGCTCACCCTACAATGGTGACTTTTATCTATTATCAAAGTATTATTTTTTAATATAAAATATTTATCACACGTTCACGTATCGACACTTTGTAGCTAACTGATGATACTATTTAAGGAGGTGGCAGGACAGCCTAAGAGGAAAAGCTTGCAAGAAAGTAGTAGGTTGTTGGAGAGAAGCTGATGGGGTCATAAATTCATGGCATGTGACTCTCTCTCTTCCTCAGTGTCCTATTCCTCCTCTTTCCATCTACCACAAATAAGAACAAATACCAGCTCCCATACTTAGATCAAAGCCCCAAACGGCATGCCTAACCTGCCATAAAATGAACAAAAGTTGCTTTGCAGTAGGAATTTGTCCATAGTGACAAGAAAAGCAACAAATGCAGGAATTAGACTGTAAACATGACCATATTACTCGAAGGCTGGAATCACTGTCAGTTGGGACTCAAGTCTTGATATGGGAGCTTGTGGCTGATCAATCTGTAGTCCATTGTAAGTAACCTACTTCTACCAGACAGGCCTCACCTCTCAAAGATTCCATAATTTCCCAAAACAGAACCACTAGCTGTGGGCCAAATGCATAAGCACATGTTTTGGGCAACATTCACAATCAACTATCCAACATAAAGGCAAAAAGGTTTATGACCTTGTCACACGTGGAAGATCACACTTCTTAACAATGTTATAATGACATTTAAATTTCTTTTTTTTAAAAAAAATATTTATTTATTATGTGTACAATATTCTGTCTGTATGTGTGCCTGCAGGCCAGAAGAGGGCACCAGACCCCATTACAGATGGTTGTGAGCCACCATGTCGTTGCTGGGAGTTGAACTCAGGACCTTTGGAAGAGCAGGCAATGCTCTTAAACTCTGAGCCATCTCTCCAGCCCCTGACATTTAAATTTCAACATGTGGTTGTAGAGATGACATTCAAACTGATGCCTTCTGCACACACACACACACACACACACACACACACACACACACACACTAGATATACACACACATACAAACACATAGCCCTTCACACACTAAATATATTTTTCCCATACCAATAAGTCCCAAGTTTCATTTTGCCGACAATCCTTTACACAACCATTTACTTGTGGACTTTATTATTCATCATTCACCTGAGAAAATATAAACCAGGATAAACTTATATTGTGCATGTATATAGCTAATGGAAAGTTGTGCATATGTGTATGCCTCAGATGAGATTTTTATCTTCTCTTTGTCATAACTTGTTTTCTATCTACAATAGAATTGATGATAAATAGAGAACTGGAAGGTCATATTGACTCAACTACAGAGGAAGAAGGGGGAGAAACTGAGCAAGAACCAGGTAAACAACATTGACAACTATAGAAACCTTCCAAATACAAAGACATTATAGGACAAAATTGGCTGGAGATGTAGCTCAGTTGGTAGTTTTTGCTGAGAATTTATTAAATTTTGGACTTGGTCATCAGTGGTATGTGAGGGCACATGCATACAAATTCATAACTTTTGAAATGGAACAGGAACATAAATCATTTTAAAATACATAATTAATGTACTTTCAGTAATAATGATTTTCCATATGTATTTTCATCAAAAGAAATTACAATTATCAAACACCTAAAACCATCAGCACCATCATGATTCAGTGGTCAAAGATGATTCTACAAATATGGTCCCCTTGATAAATCATAAGAGGTTAATATGCACCATAATGTCTTCCCTATTTTAGAGACAAGGTCTAATGTAGCCCTGCCTGACCTTAAATTCACTTTGCAGACAAGGATTATACTGAAATGTGATCACCCTGCATCTATCTCCCAGGTGCTGGGTATACAAGCATGAGCCACTATGGTCATATTAAGAGGCACTGAGGATTAAATCCAGGGTTTCATGTACGCTTTGTAAGCCAGAATTCTACCAACTAAGCTACACACAGGGCACCCATAATTTCTTGTATTTTTGTTTTGTTGTGGGAAAAACAGCCTCACTATGTAGCCCAGGCTGGCTTAGAACTCCTGATCCCCCTGCCTCTACCTCCCAAATATCAAGATTACAGATTTTTTTTTTTTTTTTGCTGCCAACGCAGCTATTTGTTTTACATCTTATTTTATAGCCCAGACTGGTCTTTAACATGTGGTCAATTTGCCTCAACTTGTGAAGTATCTGGATTTGCCAGCTAATGTCAACAAGCCTGGTTATGATTTTGCTGTCATTGGTTTTCACATTATGTTTGAAATATGGTATACATTTTGGCAGTGTTTGCCTGTCTTAATTGATGACCAAACATTTCTTCTAAGATGTTCTTTTGTTCTTTGTTTTTTGTTTTACCCTTCTAAAAAAAAAAAAAAACCAACTTGAATATCACCATAGAACCTTCGTCCAGCGATGGATGGAGATAGAGACAGAGACCCACATTGGAGCACTGGACTGAGCTCCCAAGGTCCACTTGAAGAGCAGAAGGAGGGAGAAGATGAGCAAGGAAGTCAGGACAGTGAGGGGTTGGTCTACCCTCTAAGACAGTGTGCCTGATCTAATAGGAGCTCACCAAATCCAGCTGGACTAGGACTGAACAAGCATGTGATCAAACCTGACTCTCCGAATGTGGCTGACAATGGGGGCTGACTGAGAAGTCATTAATAATGGCACTGAGACTTGTTTCTACTGCATGTACTGGCTTTTGGGGATCCTAGTCTGTTTGGATGCGCACTTTCCTAGGTCTGGATGGAGGGGGAGGGCCTTGGACTTCCCACAGGGCAGGGTACCCTGCCCTCTCTTAAGGAGGGAGGGGGAGGGAGGAGGGGGAGGGAGTGAGCTGGAGAGGAATGGGAAGAGGGGAGGAAGTAGAAAATTTTAATGGAAAAATAAAATTTAAAAAAAACTTGTATATATATTTAAAGTTCATGCGTTCTCTCAATACAAAAAAAGAATTTTCCATTACTCTGATGTTCCAAGAATATCTGAAGTATTTCAAGAGTTGTGTATTAATGTCAAAATTCAGTTGATTTAAATTTACATTTGATTGACTATATCACATTTGAAATGCATTTGGTGGTTGACCTCTTTGTTTGTCTCTCTCTGTGTCCCAGGCTGATGAAGTTGTAATCTACTGTGTGGCCTAAGATAAAGTTTCTTAGTAGATGAAGGCAATACACCTTCCCCAAAGTGAGGGCTGTGACAGTTACTTCATGAAAAGCACCTCATGACTCACACTGGGAATCCTGGGTTGGAATAATGACTCAAATTCTGTGCCACATTATCCTGCTTGACAAGACCAAGGTCCTGGTTGCATTTAAGTCTATTCTGACACCTTGCTGAAGTCAAAAAAAGTACAGATGCTAGGCCTAAAATCACCATACTTTCCAGACATTTATTTTCAACCACAAGAGCATAGCAATAATGTTCTCCTCTTAAACTCACCGAATGCTGGGACTACAGGTGTGTGCTACCACACCAGAGATATTTCAAATATCTGATAGTCATATTATGGGAATAGATATCATAAGTACAATGTAGTTCTAATACACTATGTGGCTTAAGATAAAGGTTCTTAATATCTATGTATATCTGCCTATTACTATGTGCAGGCAGTATATCTCCCCCAAAGTGTGAAGACTGTAATCCTTACTGCATGAAATATGCTTCATGGCTCCCACTGTGAATCCTGGGTTGGAATAATGACACAAGATCAATGCTGGATCACCCTGTTTGACAGAAACAAGGTCCAAGTGTCATTCAGGTCCATTATGGCACTTTGTCAAGGTCAGAAAGCACAGATGCTTTTCTGAAATCACTGTGGTTTCCTGACTTACCTACTCAACTTCTGGAGTAAAGCTCTACTGCCAACAACAACAGGCATTGGCTGAACATCACATGAAGGGTGCTGCTTCCCCACTTTACTCCAGAAAAGAGAAATGAAGTCTTATTAAGAAGAGAAGTCTAAGGATGGGTATGGCCTCCCATGCTTCTCATTTTTGCACTAGGAAGGCTCACATTAGGCATTTACCCTTGCCTAAGTAACTTAATAAAACCCTATGTCCAGTTAAGACCCTAAAAGCACTGGTGATATAACAGAGTGGTGGAGCACTTGCCTGGTGTATTTGTTACTTTTTTATTGCTGTGAATAGACATGAGGACAAAGGCAACTTATAGAGGAAAGACTATCTTGGGGAATGTGGGGGGAGGGTTTGGAAGCATGGAATGAGGGTTTGAGTCCATGATTATCATGGCAGCTGGCAGGCAGGCATGGTGCTAGAGCAGTAGTTGGGAGCTCACAACCTTATTCACAAGCATGAAGCAAGTGAGAGAGAGCTAACAGGTAATGGTTGGACATTTAAAATTTCAAAACCAACCCTTAGTGATATGCCTCCTTAAAAAGATACACATCTTAATCCTTCCCAAACATTTCAGAGATGCCCAATCATACTACAAAAGCATTTGTTCAACTATGTTCATAGCAGCACTATTTGTAATAGCCAGAACCTGGAAACAACCTAGGTGCCCCTCAATAGAAGAATGGATGAAGAAGGTGTGACACACATACATTTTAGAATTTTACTCAGCGGTAAAAAACAATGACATCTTGAATTTTGCATGCAAATGGATGGAAATAAAAAACACTTTACTGAGTGAGATAACCCAGACCCAAAAAGATGAATATGGTATGTACTCATTTCCACAAACTGGGAACCAGGAATGTGAATGTATAAGTCTATGGGTTCATTCTCATTCAAACTAACAGGCATGGACTCTGGCAATCAACAGTGAGAAGCTTGGGGCTCAATGGTACGACCATAGTCTAGCATAAATGAGACTACAATTTTTTATTTTATTTTATTTTTGTCTCGAGACTATGTCTCAAGAAACTGTAATTTTGGAGCTTGTCTTGGAACTAGCTCTTGTAAAGCAGGCTGGTCTCAAACTCACAAAGATCTGCCTACTTCCTCCTCCTAAGTGCTGGTATTAAAGGTGTGCTTCACTACCACCCAGCATGATACTACAATTTTAATTCTCATTACAGAGAGAGGTGTGCTGGAAGAGGAATAAAATATGATATACATGAAAATGTCATAAATAAATTCATATTTATGTACTAAAAATAGTTGAAAGTAGGAAGAGGAGCTGGGAAGATAGCTCAGCTGAATTGTACCTGCATCACAAGTATAAAGAGCTAAGTTTGGACCCCAAGTACCCTCATAAAAGCCAGGCTTAAACATGGAGCATATATATGGAACCCCATTGTTTTGAGGGTAGAGCATGTAAAATCAGATCTCATTGACCGGTCAGTCAGTCAGCCTATCTGAACTGATGAAATATATTCAGGTCTAATGAAAGACTCTGTCTCAAACTAATTAAATTAACTAACTAATGTATTAATCAACTAATTAAGTAGAGAACACACAACTAGAGAAGATGCTAACATCACACAGGTGCCATTATTTTTTTTTTCATGAAACCTATACAATGGATTAATGGGGCATTGGAATGAGGAACTTGTATCCAAATGCAACCATTGTGTAACAATCCATAAATATGCTTTTGTACAGTGGCTCAAAGTTTGTTCCACTGCAGGCTGGACCTCCTTGTTACTAAAGAGCCTGAATTGCATTCTGGAGTGACCCACCTTTGTTGAGTATCCCACACAATATAGAACACCTGAAAATACATGCATGGGAATTACTTTTATATACAACCTAACGTTTTAATTTGTATCTAATTGTGCAGACAAATTTGGGTATTAGTCTAAAAGTAATTTATTTTTCCATTATGTTCTGAGTTATACCATCAACTTGGGGGGCGGCAGAAACTCAATCAGGGGTGGCTCCACTCCCAGTGTGATGTGATCTCACCATCAGATTTGCCTGTAGCCTGATCTCATGGAGGCATTTTCTCAATTGAGGCTTCCTCCACCCTGATGACTCTCACTTCTGTCAAGTTGACATAAAATTAGACAGAACATCTGACAAGAAGCTAAAATTTGGAATCTATAAGGAATTCAGCATGTATTAATTTAACAGAGTTGTTTGTGGTTTGTGGCGAACTGCATACAATTCTTTGAGCTTAGAACAGTACACAGTCAGGGGTTCAATCAAGAGGGGATGGAACTTCTAGTATAATTAGGAATTTTTCAAATGATATCATCTAAATATTCCCCAAGAATAAAGATTTGGACACTTTTATGCATTGACATATCCACACAGAAAATGGTTCAAAAATATGCACTGATCTTTGGGGGTCTTTAGGACAATTCAATAAATCAATGATAAGGGCATTTCATCTCTTTTGTGCTTATTCTGAAGGCCCCTTTATCTATCAGAGGGTTCTTGTTTCCTGGACAGAACAGATTTTCCCTGTCTGAGTAGCAATTGAAAGTATGGAAAATCTGATTTAAATTCTATCTTGGCCTATATTCACATGCAACTTTTCAAACTTGTCTAATTATTTTAATATAATATTGTATCTCAAGAAAGCCAATCTGTGATTTACCCTCCCTGGCCCCAGGTCCCCCTTCAAAAACAACAAAAGTAATTTTAAGTACAAAAGATAGATCAAAGCTTTTCTTTGTTTATTTTGGATTCAGTTAGGGAAGGTAGAAATCAGAGAACTGAATGCTAGCAGGACCAAGCATGACTGAGTAGCAAAACCTAGTGATGACTGTGTAAATACCCAGCATAAAGCACAGAAAGTTATTCTTGTGAGGAACAGAGACATTGATGTTTGAAACTATTACATGAAAAGTAAACAATAACTTTTCTAACATGGACCAGATTGTTAATGATTAAAACAGCATCAAAGTTGAATGGACTCCGTCAACATTACAACATTTCAAAGTTCCTACCCAAACATCAGAAACTACAATCAAAGCCAGGCAAGGTTTGTTCTCCAAATTTTATCTATTCATTTTCTCTTGCATATTCACAAAATGTTGGAACTTTACCTAAGGATACCTCCTACCTCACTTCTCTCTAACCCTGCCTTCTGTCTCCTTGTCTCACCCCCTGTCCCCTACCTGTGCTTCTACTCCTTTCTCTGTTGATGCTGAGATGCTCTTTATGTAACTATACAATTCTTTCATCACTGCTATTTTCAAATGAATCATCAAATATTTTTTTAGACCTTCCCCATTCCAACAGCCAGCACTGTAAATATAAACAGACATCACCTACCTGAACAAATCCATTTGCAGAGACAATTTAGAAACTGAAAAGATGGACTGAGTTGTATTAACTCAGCAAAAGAGTACCTGTCTGGCATGTGCAAAGCCATTGTGTTACATACCCAGAATAAGAAATAAATAGAGCAAGCAGAATAAAAGTAAATGTGCTGACTGAAGAGAAGGAAAGACTCCTGTAATTTCACCACTAGTTAGACAGAGGCAAGGAAGACAAATTGTTTAAACCATTTGGGCTACATAGCAAGTTGCAGACCAGCCTGAGATATGTGAGTAATTGTTTAGAAGTGAGAAGAGTGGGCAGAAACAGATGGGCAGCTGGAAGTAGCTATAAACAAATAAAAACATGTAATGCTATGGCATCTGTTATGCAAACAAGGACCAATAAAGCACCAAGCAATAAGAAATGAACATGACAAGGGTCAACACATGCCTTTCAATAATAACTGAATATTAGTTGTCTCAGTGTCGAAACAAAAGACATAAGCTAGCAGGTATCTTTTATAAACAGGATTGATCTTTCCATATTTTCCTGTCTACATGAAACACATCCCATAATTTATGTTAGGTTGAAAGGATGGAATGCAGCAACGGGAATCAGGAATAAAGTAGACAT